ATACACATATATATACAAATATATATATATATACACATACACATGTACACCCACATACTGTACATACCCGCACAGTCATGCATATACACCCACACACATACTATACAAACATATTACAATCGATTTTTTCCAGATTATTACAAGTTCCAACATCATATAATGTTGGAACTTAATGGAGGCACACGAAACATATTATATTTTAAAATTGGCTATTGTTTGATGTTATTATTGATATTATTGATGATGTATGGTGTTTCCCCTACATAGTGAGGTGCATTAAAAAAAGCCAGGGTGTGAAGTGGGTCCATTGGTGAGGCTGGTTGCTCCCCTCCAATAAACTCTCACCCAGCTGTCCTAACAACTGAACAAATGTTGGCTATTGAGCTGAACTATTCTGTGTAGTGCATTAAAAAGATGGGGATAAATGAGTCCGTTATGAGGGGGAACCTCACAACAGACCCATCTCCCCACTGCCCCAATCCTAAATATTTTCTAGCGGTGATAAGTTGTATGTTAAATGTGCCTCCTACACAATGTATTTTATTCATTTGTTTATAATTATATATTATTATTTTTTCCTATTATTTGTGTGTGTGTATATACACATGAATACAAGCTAGCTTATACATATAGACATAAATAATGGCATGGGGGTACATGTTTCACAGTCATAAACACAATTATGTATTTATTTGTTTTTAGTAATTATTATTTTAATATTGTTAATATTCTATTTATTTTTTATTCTTCATTTATCTATATTTTATTTATTTATCTTTCTTTTTAAGTATGCAAGAGGGCGGTCAGTGCGGAGGGTGTGTTGTCTGGGTTCATGGATGTGTTGTGTAATGAAATGTAGTCTACAATAAGGTTTTTCCAAATGGCAATGTGTATGTTGGCCTTTGTTTTCCAGTTTATGAGGATTACTTTTTTGGCGATGGCTAGCGACAAGAGAAGGTGTTGTGTGCTGTGCTGGTTGAGTTTGATGGTGGATGTGTCTCCTAGTAAACAGAGGGAAGGGGACATTGGGATGTGGCAGCCAAATAGTGTGCTGAGTGAGTTGGTGACTGTTTCCCAGAATGTTTGGACAGGTGTGCAGTGCCAGAGAGCGTGAATGTAGTTGTCCTGAGATCCTTGAGTGCATTGTGTACAAGTGTCTGTTGTGAATCCCATTTTGGCGAGTTTGTGTCCGGTGTAGTGGGTTCTGTGAAGGATTTTATATTGAATGAGTTGGAGATTGGAATTTTTGGTCATTGAATATATGTTTTTGCAGATTTGGGTCCAGAAGTTGGCATCAGGAGCAACTGCTATATCCTGTTGCCATTTTTCTGTTGGAAGAGATTGTGTTTGATCTGCTTTTCTGAATAGTTTGTATATTTTTGAGTTTAGTTTCTTTGTGGAGATATTTAAAAAAGATTCAATTGAATCATGTGGTTCCAAGTTTATTGGAGAGCGGTTATTGATTTTGGGTTGAATTGCTGATTTGATTTGATAGTATTCAAGAAAGCAATTGCTCCTGATGCCATACCCCTGGACCAAGTGTGGGAGTGGTGAAAATGTTCCGTTTGAGATTATGTGACCAAGGTGAGTTATTCCCTTTTCTACCCAAGAGTGAAAGTAAAGAGGTTTGTTGTTGATTGTGAATTCAGGGTTGTGCCAGATAGGTGTGTGTATGGAAGGAAAGAGTGGTGCATTTAGTAGTTGGTGTAGTTTCCACCAGGCTGCCAGAGCTGCTGCTATTGTTGGAGCTTTGAAAAGGGGATTTTTTTTAATAGTGCAGTTTAAAAAGGGTAGGTCTGAGAGTTTGATGTGTTTGCATATTGTTTGTTCGATGTCTGTCCAAATTGTATCTGCTGTGTTTGGGTGGATCCATTTGTGTATGTACTGTAGGTGGGCTGAAAATGAGTAATGTTGGAAGTTTGGTGCGTTGAGTCCGCCCTGAAGCTTTGGTTTCTGTAGTGTGGCGAGTTTGATTCTTGGGGTTTTGTTTTTCCAGTAAAATTTGTTAATAGTTGTGTTGAGGGATTTGGACCAGGTCAAGGTTGGTTGTACTGGGGTCATTGAAAAGAGGTAATTGATTTTGGGGAGGATTGACATTTTTATTATTGCTATTCTGCCTGTGAGTGAGACTGGGAGGTTCATCCAACGTTGGAGATCATCTTCTATTTGTTTGATTAGTGGAGTGAAATTAAGAGAAAACAGCTCTGACAGTCTGGGGGAAACCTTTATTCCCAGGTAGGTGATGTGGTGAGTAGAGAGTGGGATTGGGGGTGCTGTGGCTGCCACATCCCAGCTGTTTGGATGTAGGGGAAGTATAAATGATTTGTTCCAGTTGATTGAATATTGTGAGACTTTGGAGAATGATTCAATTAGGTTTATTGTATGGCGTAGTGAGGATGTGGGATTTTGTAGAAAGAGGAGAATGTCGTCTGCATAGAGGCTGATTTTGTGTTCTATGGTTTGTGTTTGGAATCCTTTGATCTGGTTATTTTGACGGACTGCTGCTGCGAGAGGTTCTATGAATAGTAGGAATAGAAGTGGAGAGAGTGGGCATCCTTGGCGGTTTCCTCGGTGTAGAGTGAAGTGACGTGATGTTTGACCATTGGTGATGACAGTGGCTGTAGGTGAAGTATATAGAATCTTTAACCAATTGATGAATGAGCCCCGGAAACCAAACCTCTCCATTGTGGCAAACAGGAAAGTCCAGTCCACCCTGTCAAAGGCCTTCTCTGCGTCTAAAGTAGCTATGATGGATTTGTCGTAATGTGATGATGACCAGTGAATTAGATTGTAGAGTCTCCGGGTGTTGGTGGATGCGTGTCTGCCTTTGATAAAACCTGTTTGATCGGGATGGATGATTGTAGGGATTACTTTTTCTAGTCGGTGGGCAAGTGTTTTGGATAAAATTTTAGTGTCCACGTTGATTAGTGAGATGGGTCTGTAGCTTGATGGGAGTGTTGGGTCTTTATTGGGTTTAAGGATTAGTGAAATGGTGGCTGAGTTCATGTGAGTGGGAAGTTTGGAGAGTTGCTCTGATTCCTGAAGCATACGGCTGAATAATGGTGAAAGTATTGGCCAGAAATGTTTATAGAACTCAGCAGGGAAGCCGTCTGGACCGGGAGATTTGTTGTTAGACATGGATGTGAGGGCTATGCTTAATTCGAGTTCTGTTATTGGTTTATTTAATGTTGCTATTTGGGTGGGGGTGAGGGTGGGTAAGTTGAATTCGTTCAAAAAGTGGTGAATGTTGTCCAAGTTTGGTTCTTTGGTGGAGTATAGTTCCCTATAGTAACTTTCAAAAATTGTATTTATTTCTTTATGAGATGTAGTAGGCTTCCCTGCTGAGTTCTGAATTGTGGATATTAGGCTTTTTTCTTTGTTTAGTTTGATTTGGTTTGCCAAATATTTTCCTGATTTGTTGCCATGTTCGAAATGCTCCTGTCTAAGTCTATGGATAAGGAATTGAGTTTTTTTATTTATTATTTCATTTAATTTAAGTTTTAGTTGTCTTATTTCTTTGCATAGATCGTCATTTGGGTTTATCATATTGGTTTGTTCTAGTAGCTTTATCTCATGTTCTAGCTTTTGTTCCAGTTCTCTTTCTTTTTTGGATTTGTTGGCGGAGAAAGCAATAATTCGGCCGGTGAGGATCGCCTTCCCTGTCTGCCACAGGAGGGAGGGCGAGGTCCCCGGGGTATCATTGATCTCCACAAAGGATGCCCACTCTCTCTTTATGAAGTTGTCGAAGTCGGGGTCCTGCAGTAATGAAATGTTAAAGCGCCATCTAGAGGTTAGTTTAAATTGGTTTGAGTAGTTCCAAGTAATTGAAATTGGTGCATGGTCACTGATGGTTATGGGGTGGATCTGTTGTTCTGAAATTTGTGGCATGATTGAGTTGCTGTTCAAGATTAGATCGATACGGGAGTATGACTTGTGAACTGATGAGAAATAGGTGTATTGTTCTTTTGTGGGATTATGTTGACGCCAGCCATCACCAAGGCCGAAATCTTCCATAAGTTTCTTGATAGTTTCTGTTGATTGCCAGGTTCTTGTATTTTTATTGTTTGATCGGTCAAGTTTTGTGTTGAGTACTGTATTGAAATCACCTGCAAGAATTATTGGACAGCTGGAAAGGGTGTGAATCAGTGAGAAAAGGTTCTGGAAGAATATTGGGTCATCTGTGTTTGGGCCATACACATTGCCAATTGTAATAGGGATATTATTGATGCTAATGTTTATTATGACGTAGCGTCCTTCCGGATCTGTTATTGTTGAGTTGTGGGAGAAGGTTAGGTTCTTGTGGATGAGTATACAAACTCCTCTCTGCTTACTGTTGAAGTGAGATGAGTAAATGTGGCTATATTGTGAAGATTTTATGTTTTTGTATGTTGTATCTGTTGTGTGAGTTTCCTGTAGTAGACATATGTCGCCTTTTAGCTTGAGAAGTTGTTCTAAGATGTTGGCCTTTTTCTTTTGATTACCAAATCCCCTGATGTTCCATGATACTAATCTAAGAGTTCCCATTTTACGTTAATTTGAGGTGGTAGAGTGAAATGTGGGTTGTAGTATATATGCATGTGTGTGCGTGTGTGCGTGCGCGCATGTGCGTGTACGAAGAGTGAGGGGGAGTGCATGTGTGTGAGATTGTACAGACAAACAAAAAAAAGAATAGTAAACAAAGTAAACAAAATAAAAAAGATAAAAGTAAAGGGGAGACTATACAAAAATGTTGTTTTGTATAGAGGTCCAGAGTCCACAGTGCGGTGGGGGTTGAATTTGGAAATCTCCCCCCGCTACCATCTACTGTTGGTTAGGGAGAGGCCGACATATAACAAAACAGTAGTAATTATAATAGTAGTGATAATAATAGAAACAGTAATGCTAATCACAATAATAGTAATGAGAGAAAGAATAAATAAATAATAATTGAAAAAAAAAAACAAAACAAACAAGCGATCAGTTTATGTTAGAGGACTACAGTCGCTCCGATGACGTCATCTCTATGGGTCAGTGTTTGTAGCTGCAGGTATGGCAGCGCTCACGTTGTGCTCGCCGCCGGTGAGCCAATAAGTTATTTTAGAGTTACGGTAGAGTACACCGTCAATGTAAAGTTTATCGACTGATAGTTTGGCTCTCTTACCGGCGGATCTTGCTTCGGCAAACACCGGCTGGAGTAACCTTCGCCTCCTCATGATCTCCGGGGGAAACTGGTCACTCAGAGATAGCTTCGTTCCTTTGAGTTCTTTGGCTCTACCCATGATCGTCGTCTTGTGCCGGGGGTCCAGAAGCTTGGCCACGATGGGACGGCCCCTAGAGTCTCCTTCGCGTTCCCTGCCCAGGCGATGCGCTCTTGCCACCTGGATCCGCCGTGCCTCGCCTTCTTCCATCTTGAGGTTGTTTGTGAGAAAGGACATGACTATTTTTTCGGTTGTCTGGTAAGTCTCTTTCTGTTGTTCTGGTAATCCGTGAATTATGATGTTGTCTCGCATGCTCCTGCTTTGCAGATCGAGTATGTGGTTTTGATTTGTTTTTGATTCTTCTTGTAGTTTTACGGTTTGGGTTCTGAGATTATTAACTTCTATGCGCAGTGATGCGTTTTCTTGTTGGAGGACTTCTACTAAAGCTACGTGGTATTCCAGTGATTTTTTAAAGTCTTCTACGTCTTCTTTCAGACTTACAAGAATGTCCAGTTTTTTTAGTTGTTTTTGCATAATGTCCATTGATTCTCGCATTTGTCGGATGTCAGAGTGTATCGGGTTGTCGGCGTCCATGTCGCTTGAGCTCAGCTCTTCTCGCCCGCGTTTGGCGTCATGTCGTAAATTTGATCGATGAATGATTCTAAATCTTGGATGGTGCTGTCGCTTGGAGATTCCAGTTTTGTTTTGTTGTAGTGGTTGGTTTTTGGCATTCGTGCCAAAAACCAACCACTACATTTGGGGGGGGTTCAGGAGCTACATGTCACTCATACGTGTGACATGTATGAGTGACTTGTGTTCTTTTCAAGTCAAACATTCACAGTGTTTATTTAAAACGCCAACGCATACCTGAAAGTTAATCAAAATAAAGATGGGGATGTAATAACTGTGCATTGTGACTGCATGGTTGGGTAAATAAATAATCCTTCGATGTAAAAGCGTTTGCTACTGAAATTAAAGTATTCCTTATTGATTTTGTGTTTAGATCGCTTAGAACAAACTAAAACAACACACGCAAAAGGCATATTCAACCCGCTGCTCTAAAGAACAACTAGCTCGGCTGACCACCACTTTGTGATACGCATATGTAATGAGGCTGACGTGACGTTAATTGCAAGCAAGCAATTCCATTCACACTTGTCACAACTGTAACACACCCTTGGACCCAATGCCTTGTATTTCAAAACCGTATTTCCAACAAGTCTGCATTTTAGTAAATAATCAAGGGTTGACTTGATTACAACTGTTTTTAAATATTAGGAAAGCATTCAACAGTGTTATTTATGATATGCTTTTATCCAAACTAAATGTTTTATTTATTTTAACATGCTCTGAGATGATTTGAATCAATCGTTTTTAAATATAATTTTCCCTTTGGAACTAAATCACCCTGGGCCAGGGTTCTGTAGATAAATGATCTACCGAGAGTGTGGGAAAAGGTTCATGTCCAATCGTTTGCTGATGCAGTCATTATCACAGGTGTAAAAACTGCTGCCCTTTTTTGAACAACAGAAATGACCCATGTGTGTTCTTGGTGGATAAGCTCATGTTTGCAACTCACATTGTATGATTATGAAGTATTAAAGTCTGATTTTAGACTGTACTCAAAAAGCAAACAAATCCCAAGATAATGACAACCAGAGAACAACGTTTTCATCAGATGTTTTGAAAAAGGATTATAAATCAGTGATCAACACTATTTCTTTTCACCATTGTTTAGAGGAGCATGATTCATACAATTATCAATTAGTCAACAACTGATCAGAGAATCAACCAAGTACTAAAAACACACAGGTGCCATTGGTCTGTGTAGGGAACAGGATGACCAATGTCTACAAATCTGAATCATCACTGTCCTTGGACCATTGCAGGGGGATGGCACCAGGACCCTGTGACTGTGAGGGGGATGGCACCAGCACCCTGTTACTGTGAGGGGATGGCAACAGGACCCTGTAACTGTGAGGGGATGGCACCGGGACCCTGTGACTGTGAGGGTATGGCACCAGGACCCTGTGACTGTGAGGGGATGGCAACAGGACCCTGTGACTGTGAGGGGATGGCACCAGGACCCTGTGAGGGGGGAGGGCACCAGGACCCTGTGACTGTGAGGGGATGGCACCAGGTCCCTGTGACTGTGAGGGGATGGCACCAGGACCCTGTGACTGTGAGGGGATGGCAACAGGACCCTGTGACTGTGAGGGGAGGGCACCAGGACCCTGTGACTGTGAGGGGATGGCACCGGGACCCTGTGACTGTGAGGGGGATGGCACCAGGACCCTGTGACTGTGAGGGGAGGGCACCAGGACCCTGTGACTGTGAGGGGATGGCACCAGGACCATGTGAGGGGGAGGGCACCAGGACCCTGTGACTGTGAGGGGGATGGCACCAGGACCCTGTGACTGTGAGGGGAGGGCACCAGGACCCTGTGACTGTGAGGGGGATGGCACCAGGACCCTGTGACTGTGATGGGGATGGCACCAGGACCCTGTGACTGTGAGGGGGATGGCACCAGGACCCTGTGACTGTGAGGGGGATGGCACCAGGACCCTGTGACTGTGACTGTGGCACCAGCCTGTGATGTGGGGGGGCACCAGGACCGGGGGGGCACCAGGACCCTGTGACTGTGAGCCTGTGCCTGACTGTGGGGGATGGCACCAGGACCCTGTGACTGTGAGGGGAGGGCACCAGGACCCTGTGACTGTGAGGGGGATGGCACCAGGACCCTGTGACTGTGATGGGGATGGCACCAGGACCCTGTGACTGTGAGGGGGATGGCACCAGGACCCTGTGACTGTGAGGGGATGGCACCAGGACCCTGTGACTGTGATGGGGATGGCACCAGGACCCTGTGACTGTGAGGGGATGGCACCAGGACCCTGTGACTGTGAGGGGATGGCACCAGGACCCTGTGACTGTGAGGGGATGGCACCAGGACCCTGTGACTGTGAGGGTATGGCACCAGGACCCTGTGACTGTGAGGGGATGGCACCGGGACCCTGTGACTGTGAGGGGATGGCACCAGGACCCTGTGAGGGGGGAGGGCACCAGGACCCTGTGACTGTGAGGGGATGGCACCAGGACCCTGTGACTGTGAGGGGATGGCACCAGGACCCTGTGACTGTGAGGGGAGGGCACCAGGACCCTGTGACTGTGAGGGGATGGCATCAGGACCCTGTGACTGTGAGGGGAGGGCCCCAGGACCCTGTGACTGTAAGGGGATGGCACCAGGACCCTGTGACTGTGAGGGGATGCACCAGGACCCAGCCTTGCTTTGAAGAGGAGTCTCTGGTCTTCAATTTTCCCCTGAAGCAGTGGTGAAGGTCTGTGAAGGACTGCATCGCTCTCTGGGGTTTGTTTGGTTGTGTTTATGTTTGTAAAAGTGCTTCAATCTTCTGTCAAGGGCGTCTTGTTTTCCGACATATTTACACTGCATTTGCAGACGTTATTGTGCACTGTCCATATCAATTAAATAAAAAGGAAACAAATGTAAGCTTCAACAACCTGCTGAAGTGCTTCATGAAGTGTACTTTAGAGTTAACAAACAACAATCAGAGGAAAAAACTTAAAGTGATGGAGCAGACGTCAGAGTTGCAGCTCGGTCACTGCACAATTAAAGTGGAAACTAATGGCACGTCTTTACATACAGAGAAGATGAGACACGAGCTGAAGCGAGATGGGCAGACGATAAAGTCCTGGAAAATGAAAGTCAGGTAATGAAGTAATCTCAGCTTGGTTCGCTATCTGAGCTTTCACACAAGTGCACACACACACACGCACGCACGCGCGCACACACACACACACACACACACACACACACACACACACACACACACACACACACACACACACTCACACTCACACTCTCTCACACACACAGACACACACACACGCGCGTACGCATGCACACTCAATCAAAAAGACTGATAAAGTTTTCTTCAATTTGAAAAGTAATAATATTGGACTCAAAGAGAGTGTGTAGGAGGCCGCTGAAGGCCGCGATGCTAATAGGTTGTTAGGGCCGAGCCGAGCAGCAGCGCCTTAAACTGTAACGAGTGTTGGCACTTACCGATAAGCATTAGCATGCACCAAGTCTGCTCATTATATGGTTGAATATTTTATTCCTCCAAACATGCTCCTATAATGAAGTTTGCATTATTTCTGTAATACCAGTTTGGAGGATGTACAAATATAACTAGTTGCCTTTTAATGAGATTTTTCCTTACAAATAAGTAAGATATGTGTAAGTGTGCTTTGCTTGTATTAGTGCCTTAAGTTGGAGATTTACAACCTGTGGTTGAGGTTCGACACTGATCCTGAGGCTAACTCATTGTCCTGATCTCATCTGATCCTGCGAGGGCCAACAATCCTAACTAGCACGTCACTGACCTTTCCCTGTCTGGGCGTTGTTTTCAGGACGTCGTCATAGAATCTTAAACTGCCTCCTCTGTTTAGTGATTGTTTGTGTTTCCTCACAAAAAAGGCTTCTTTCACCTCTCCCTCAAACCAACTTTCATCTCAAGCCAGAATTTTAACCTCTGTGTTCTCTGTGGTGTGGTTGGTGGCCTTGGGATGGAGATGCACAGCTACAGTAATTCTGACCCACTCTTATTTTCTCTACGATGCAGGTAGAGTTGTTTTTGTAGAGTTTGTTTGGTTTCTCCTCCTCTTCATTTCCTTGATAAAGCTTCTAGGATAAATAACACAACAGCAGAAAACCTGCCAATTGAAGCACAGATGATGGGTGAGCAACCATCCTTTGTTTTGAATAATCCCTGTACGACTGAGAGCCTACAAAGAAAAATATTTGATTTCACTTAAATGTTCATGTACCCGTATCAATAAAAACACAATGACCAATATTGACTTATTTTGAGTACTTTGCGTTGCATGAGACGGTGAGAAGCTGCAAATGACAAAAAGATATAGGTCTGCTCAGTCTGAGGAACAGAGGTTGGCCTCGAGCATCTCCAGAGAGCTGTGATGTATGACCTGAACTCCCAGAGACTCCCTGGGGCCCTGCACTACTCTCCTGAGACTGTCCGCTGTTAGCTTCCCACCTGCAGGAGGGGCCACAAGGGGAACACCAGCTATTAGTCCTACATCTGCTCCAAATATGAAAAAAGGCTTCATTTTTGGCCCTTGTACGTAGAAAACTGTATTTTAGCCTCACTAATGTTTTTTCTGGAACTCATTAATGTTGCCTTTTTTGATTGACCCTCAGATTGCGATTGACGTATCGGGCTCCCCTGCTGTAGAAGAAGCAAGATAGGCACTTTCAAAGTTGCATCCTCTCCATCACCAAGTAACATTTTCAGCGTGTGACAATGATAATCGAGATGTTGAAAAGCAGCTGTAAAACACGTTGTTGCATTGATACTTCTGAAAGCACATGTAATCCAACACCTTTTAGACAAGTGATCCAAGGAAACCATCCACTAATGTGTTTGAATCCCAAATAATGTGGGTTTTAATGTGTGATCTGGATCTGAAAGTGAATGTTAATTAAAGCATGAGGTTTAGCTGGAAGAATATGTTTGTACTGACCCAGGAACAGAGTAAAATAATGAACAAAATACATTATTGATGAATGATAATAGGGCAAACACAGGCTAAGGTATATACTCTACTGTTCCTTAGGGAATTATTTTCATCTGCATTTGACCCATTCTTCAATGTTTCTGTCAGCAGCATTACAGCACCCGGGGACCCATCTGTGGATGTTGATGCTCAGGATGGTCCGGACAGCCTGAGGATATTAGTCAATGGTGCATGTTTTAAGTGGTGCTGGAAACCGATAATAGAGAAAAATATAGATATTAGCACAGTGCTACTGTTGATGATGAACATGGCATGGTTTGGGCTTGTTGATTTATTTGTACCTGGTTTTATTTTGCTCTATACATTCTCATCAGTATTTTTTATGTTTTACTTCCTGTCCGGTTCCCCTGTCTGTCTACCCCGTCCTCGTGTGTTTCACTTGCGTCTCTCTGTGTCTATATGAACCCTGTGCTCTTCCCCATGTGTTGCTGGTTCCTTTGCAGAGTTTGGTTTTCACCTTGGACTTTCAATTCATTATTTTAATTATTTTATTAAACCGTCCTTCAATTGTTTTCACCACATGACAGAATATCCACTGTTCAACAAATCAAATCCAGCTGCCCTGTAAAATACACACGAAGACCAAAGTTTTAGGTTGTATATGATTGTATTGCCTATGTTATGCTATAATTCCATTCACAACAATCGGCTAAATGAGATGATATGCCTGTTTTGGCTGTTGTCCTGTTGCATTGTATTGAAGTGTATAAGTTTCCAAGTTAAACTGTGCTTATGTTTTTTTTTTCTGCTGTCAGTCAACCTCAGTGGCATGCCTGAATATATAAAGTGGCCCGTGGGGTTAGCCTGAGAAGCCAGAAAGCTCTCAGTCTGTTTTGAGCTGGGCATGCAGCAATGAGGGCATTATGAACAAGCCTAATGCACAGTGACTGACAGACAGAGATAAAAAACAACCAGCAAACAGCAGATGTAACAACAGCCGTACATCAAGAAAGTAGTGGTAGTAATCAGAGCCAAGCAGGGCGTTGTTGGCCCATTGTGTGATCGGCATCTTCTGCGCTTCGGTCAACCATCTGCTTAATTTGTGCTGAAAAACGTGTCTTCATGGTTCAGGTTCATCCTCATCATAATCAAACTTTATTTCAGACTCATGATTTACATATACACATATAATCATAACAATAAGCCTCACTCCTCAGAGCAAACAGCTGTACCCATGTCTCCACAGTTCAGACTGGTACCAATGATTTAGATTGGTACTGGTACTGGACTGGTACCATGGTTTAGACTGGTACTGCATTGCACTGAATTTGACATTTGAAAGACTTATGATTATAATTTTACGACTTTCATTCCGGTTCCTGTGGTACAAGGTATCTCCTTTTAATGCATAAAAAAAGTACACAATAACAGTCTCAACCTCAAACAAAACCCTCTCCAAACCCAATGTTGTCAAATCAATTCAATCAATGAAGAATATAGTGTGTCCTACTGGGCACCATGTTTAACCAGGACAGAATGTAGGCAGCCAGAGGACCATGTAACAGAGCAGCCACCACCTATGTGTGGGCGCACACACACACATCATAAATCATTACATTTCTATTTTCCTTCATTTTACAATTGTAATGGTTTCCAGTTTTCCTCACTCTGAAATGTGGTCTGTACGCTCCAGGATGGTAATTAAAGTGTGCCATGATTGGAAATATATTTGCAAGCTGCATATCATTTTAATGCTAGAGCCCTAATATGCCAAGATACTGGCTCTAATTGGATTTTGATTGGTTCCTAATGAAGATGCACCTCCTCTGAGACAGACGTGACAAGTCATCTGTTCTGGCCTCCACACACACTGCTGGGCAGCAGAGCTGACTGCATCCTGCACTGTTTCTATAGTTTGTATGTGTAGAGGTTTCATCCAACAATTTCTAAATGTATGCTTCGTTTTTTAATAATATTCTAGTAAGTAATAATAATGCATGGGTTTTATATAGCGCTTTTTTGGACACTCAAAGACGCTTCACATGTGTCATTATTCATTCACTCCATACACGGTGGTGATAAGCTACTACTGTAGCCACAGCTGCCCTGGGGCACACTGACAGAAGCGAGGCAACCAGTATGTGCCATCGGCCCCTCCAACCACCACCAACCATTCACACACAAGACTCATTCTAGGCAATCGGGGTGAAGTGTCTTGCCTAAGGACACAACGGCAGTTTGGCACTTTACAGCCGCAGCCGCCCCACTGTGGCTGGTGTTCCCAGAGGTTAAGTGTCTTGCCAAGGACACAACGACAGTAGTCAGTGGGAGTCGATGGTGGAGTCTTGAGCGGGGCTTGAACCCACGACCTTCTGGCTCAAAGGCCAACGCTCTACCAACTGAGCTACTGCCGCCTCAGTAGTAAAATCTATATAATTAAAGTTTGGATGAGAACATGATTTGATCCATTGACACAGTGATGTGATGTAATCATTATTTTATTTTTTTTATTTTTTTTTTACTATAAAGAACACACAAAACACACAGGTCCAGAACAGCACAGGACAAGAAAATAATGTAGGTTAAATAAACAATCCACACAGAAATACATTTATTGACTTTAAAAC